AGTGTGCTGTGAATGTCACTTCATGTGCTACAATCTGTTGATGTACAGAAGGACTTAACTATATAATAGAAACACACTGACTACCTGCCATGAAGTATAATTTAAACATCAGAAGCAAAACAAAACGAATAGTTAGAAACACTGCTTCCACTATAATGGCAAAAACTATATTGAACCCAGGTCAGATATTACAGAATACGTTAAGCTCACATTACTAATATACCCTCAGTCAGTATACATATTTAACCTTTTTTTTTTTTTTTTTTTTACTATTTAAATTCATTGTCCCTTTTACTTCGTTTTAATTGTTTTTAAAACACATTTTTTTAAAAATTAATTTTATTGTAGGAGATTATCTGCGTTTTTCTTTTATATATAATTTACAATTGTGTTTGGCACTCTCCCTTAACTGAAATAGTTTACTAATGCATACCCAAGTTGAATATTTAGCAAAAATGGTAAATGGGATGAATTTTAAGAACTTAAAGGATCACTATAGTGTCAGGAAAACAAACAGTTTCTCTGAAACTGCTATGTTTACATGTGAAGGGTTAAAACCTGAGGGACCTGGCACCCAGACCACTTCATTGAGCTGAAGTGGTTTGGGTGACTATAGTGTCCCTTTAATATCTATATTTTATTAGTGCAGCAAAAGGTTTTGTGTATTAGATGTATAATAATTCTTCCAGATAAGAAATACTGTTTGAGAGAAACTATTTTTCCCTAAAAGAATACACAGGATTAAATTAATAATTGTTTAAGTCTCTTGAGAGTCACTGCATCCAAGGAGTGTTTCCAGTGTCAGCAGTTGTCTCCCTGGGGCAAAGGTTGTATGTGGACTATAGCCTTAAAGCTGTAATGTGTTGAGTTTGCAAAAAAATATTTAGAGACTGGTTTATCTGTCTTCTTACATTGAAAAGCCATAGGAACTGCAGAGCAATGTCCTCTCCATTCTTTTAATGCCAGGTATGTCGTCCCTACATACAACATAATACAATGTCTTATAGGTTATCATTTTCCATTATCAAAATGAGGAAACAGTCACTAATCATTTGACTACAAGTAAAGCAAACACTGCATCTAAAGGTTTCCTTTCTTTTGAATGTTAAAAATTATTTTGTAACAATTAGTGATGTCACGAACACAAAATTTTCGGTTCGCGAACGGCGAACGCAAACTTCCGCAAATGTTCGCGAACCGACGAACCGGGCGAACCGCCATAGACTTCAATGGGCAGGCGAATTTTAAAACACACAGGGACTCTTTCTGGCCACAATAGGGATGGAAAAGTTGTTTCAAGGGGACTAACACCTGGACTGTGGCATGCCGGAGGGGGATCCATGGCAAAACTCCCATGGAAAATTACACAGTTGATACAGAGTCTGGTTTTAATCCATAAAGGGCTGAAATCACCTAACATTCCTAAATCACAATGAATATGGATTGACACCTGACATATGACATATTGACACCTTGACATATGGATTGACACCTGTCCTCAAAGCCCCTGATGCACACGGACACAGAGCCGAATAGAGACTGTTCCCCCTACATAGGGTCACTTGGCAGATATGGATTGACACCTGTCCTCAGAGACCATGATACACACTGACACAGAGCAGAATAGAGACTGTTCCTCCTACATAGGGTCACTTGGCAGATATGGATTGACACCTGTCCTCAGAGACCCTGATACACACTGACACAGAGCAGAATAGAGACTGTTCCCCTACATAGGGTCACTTGGCAGATATGGATTGACACCTGTCCTCAGAGCCCATGATACACACTGACACAGAGCAGAATAGAGACTGTTCCCCTACATAGAGTCACTTGGCAGATATGGATTGACACCTGTCCTCAGAGACCATGATACACACTGACACAGAGCAGAATAGAGACTGTTCCTCCTACATAGGGTCACTTGGCAGATATGGATTGACACCTGTCCTCAGAGACCTGATACACACTGACACAGAGCAGAATAGGGACTGTTACCCCTACATAGGGTCACTTGGCAGATATGGCGTGGTCGTGGGAGGAGGAGGATGACTTTCACCTCTTCCCCTGTTAGATTCCCGTTGTGCTGTGACATCACCCTTATACGCTGTGTAAAGCATACTTTTTAAATTATTTTGCAAATGCTGCATCCTTTCCGACTTGTAATTCGGTCACATTTCCGCCACTGTCTGCTTATACCGGGGGTCTAGTAGCGTGGACACCCAGCACAGGTCGTTCTCCTTCAGCCTTTTTATACGAGGGTCCCTCAACATGCACGACAGCATGAAAGACCCCATTTGTACAAGGTTGGATGCCGAGCTACTCATTTCCCATTCCTCCTCCTCACACAGAGCAGAATAGGGACTGTTCCCCCTACACTTGGCAGATATGGATTGACACCTGACCTAAGGGTCCCTGATACACACTGACACAGAGCAGAATAGGGACTGTTCCTACTACACAGGGTCACTTGGCAGATATGGATTGACACCTGTCCTAAGGATCCCTGATACACACTGACACAGAGCAGAATAAGGACTGTTCCCCCTACATAGGGTCACTTGGCAGATATGGATTGACACCTGTCCTAGGGATCCCTGATACACACTGACACAGAGCAGAATAGGGACTGTTCCTCCTACATAGGGTCACTTGGCAGATATGGATTGACACCTGTCCTCAGAGACCATGATACACACTGACACAGAGCAGAATAGAGACTGTTCCCCTACATGGTCACTTGGCAGATATGGATTGACACCTGTCCTCAGAGACCATGATACACACTGACACAGAGCAGAATAGAGACTGTTCCCTCCTACATAGGGTCACTTGGCAGATATGGATTGACACCTGTCCTCAGAGACCATGATACACACTGACACAGAGCAGAATAGAGACTATTCCCCTACATAGGGTCACTTGGCAGATATGGATTGACACCTGTCCTCAGAGACCATGATACACACTGACACAGAGCAGAATAGAGACTGTTCTCCTACATAGGGTCACTTGGCAGATATGGATTGACACCTGTCCTCAGAGACCATGATACACACTGACACAGAGCAGAATAGAGACTGTTCCCCCTACATAGGGTCACTTGGCAGATATGGATTGACACTGTCCACAAGGACAAGCTGCAGGCTTCCTGGCAGGGCCCATACAAGGTGGTAGAGCAGGTTTGTGATACCACCTTTGTGATCGGTGCGGTCACAGGCACGGGAGGCAAGCGCATGCTCCATGTGAACATGCTCAAGCCATACCACGAGCGCACGGAAGAGGTAACCGCGATCTGTGCACCTGCCACTGAAGATTATGATAATTTGCCACTCCCAGATCTCGTAGACCTAGAGGGCCAGAGCGGAGACCTGGGAGAAGTACAATTTGTCAGGGTATTTATATCGGCAGACATCTTGTGCTATGATATATATTCTGAGTCACTTTGAACAGACCAGACTCCATTTTGTTATTTTCAAGTTAACAAAAAGACACAAGATTTCTTTCTGTAAAACTAACCACTTTGCCAGAGCTAAAGGAATGCATAGTATAAACAAAAGTGATAAGAAGAACGGGGAATATAATCAATTCTAAACCCAGACATTTGTGACAGAGAAGATTAAATAATTTAATTTTATCTTCTAGATATGTAAGGTACCATTGTATGGAAAAGGTTAAACTTAGTTCATGATCTGCCATTTTAGAAATTATAGCAGGAATTGCAGACACTAAGTCTGGACAAAACTTAAAGAAACCCTTTGAAATTTTAAATTATGGCACTATAAAGATAACGCAAAATGATGTCAAAATAGCCACCAGGAAAAGTTAACTCTTTCCTGGATAGGTATGTTTAGTGGGACAAGACTGCCCTCTATAGACCAAATAACTAAATTGCAATCTGGAAGATAACCACACCTCTAGTGCTTCTATTGGGTTATCAACTGATGACGTACAGAGAGTCTGGCCCTTTAAAAGTTAAGACAAAGGGAAGACAGAAATGCAAAGGCAAAGGAAAAAGAGGAGAGAGGAATTGGAAGTTTGGGGACTCCAACTCGGACAACATCTGAGACTAACACTCTACTCTTAAAACTCTAACACTTAGAATTTTACTGACTTTCTAATCAACACCACCTTTCACCATAACTCATGCACCTACAGACATCCAAATAAGTTCCTGAGACTACCAATCGGATGAAATATCTACTCAACTGGTAATTATACTGGTTTCATTTAATTAATTAAATTAATTAAAATGTATTAATAGCATGATATATGACTAGGATAAAGCACGGTCAGATTTCCATATTAAGAAATCTTAGTTAACTAAAGAATATATAGTTATAAACATTCCATTCTGCAGGTGGAATTAAGAATAATTATATATTGATGTGATATTATCACGTGTTAGCATACCGCTGTTTTTATCCAGGTGTATTGATTTGCTCTAAATTAAGATAAGATATCTTTTAGACAAATTAAAATTAAAATCTGCTTAGATAACATGGTAGATTCTCTTATTGGATGGTTCCAGGAAATGACTAATGAACTGGTTTAAATGTTATTTTATTTAAAATTACATAAGAATAGATTTTAATTACCTAGGAGATCTAGCCAGCATTGAAAGGGTTATTCTAACTGTTAGCAAGGGTTTTATGGCCCATCGCTGTGAAAAGTTTCACTTTCAGTCTGTGTTAAGGATACCTCATAAATCGTGTAAGACTTGACAGAAAATGCTGTTTAGCCATTGAAATGTGTATACCCATTCCATTGTATTGCATACCATTTTATACTGGATATTCATTGATTATTGTCATGCATGTTACATATTATTATTATTAATTAACTTGTTATTATAAATAAAATCTATTTTTATAACAAATTGTGAATATTATTATATGAAATACTTCTCACTTACGATAAACGTTCTTTGGGATCTGAGAATTGAATTAGTGGGCAATTCTCAACTGTTTACTATTATTATCCCATAAATATCCCCACAAGTTAGGAGAAAGGTTAGACCCCTAGGAGCGAACCCAGATCCAAAGACTAATCCAGGACAAGGGGGCCACGTTTTCCAACCTACCTGGGTACAGTCCGTTAACCACTCACAAAGTTGAAACCCTAGACCAGACCCCCCTTCGCCAAACCGCCTATCGCATACCCGAAGCAGTTAAAGAAAATATTCAGAAAGAAATTGAGGAAATGATGCAGTTAGGGGTGATAGAACACTCTGACAGCCCCTGGGCCTCCCTGGTAGTACTAGTACCGAAACGGGACGGCACGACCCGTTTCTGTGTAGACTACCGGAGGCTAAACGATAAAACAACCTCAGACGCCTCGTCTATGCCCCGGATAGACGAGCTCCTAGACAAAATGGCCAGAGGCCAGTACCTCACCACAATAGATCTGTGCAAGGGGTACTGGCAAATTGCATTAGCCGAGGACGCCATCCACAAGTCGGCATTTGTCACCTCATTTGGCCTGTATCAGTTTAAGGCCATGCCATTCGGGATGAAGAATGCCCCGGCTAACTTTCAGAGGATGGTAGATCGGCTACTGGATGGGTTTCAGGAGTATGCCTGCGCCTACTTGGATGATATAGCCATTTTTAGCTGCTCCTGGCCCTAACACCTGACCCACATAGGAGCCGTACTAGACCGGATTAGGGAGGCCGGACTGACCCTAAAGCCCAGTAAGTTCCATATAGGAACATGTAAAAACCTCCCCAAGATAGTAGTATGGGCCCCAGAGTGTGAACAGGCCTTCCAACAGCTCAAGACGGCGCTCATTAAATCATCTGTACTTTCTGCTCCTGATCCAACTAAACGCTTTCTCGTCCATACAGACGCTTCTATGTTTGAATTGGGAGCAGTACTGAGCCAAGTCGGAGCAGATGGTGGCGAGCAACCCGGGGCTTATCTAAGCCGGAAACTTTTGCCCAGGGAAGTAGATACACTGCCATTGAAAAGGAGTGCCTGGCGATGGTGTGGGCCCTCAAAAAGCTGCAACCTTACTTGTATGGACAACTGTTTACCTTACTCACAGATCACAACAAATTTGGGGCACTGCGCGTGCAATCTAATGTGCCACCAGATAGGAGTGGTGTGTTAAGTAGTACTATTCTTATCAGTTTAATCCCTGTTACGTCCCCTATCCGTTGATGTGGAGCAAGACGCAGCAGCAGAAGAGGACTCAGCCAAGGAGGTTATGGAAGAAGATGGAGTAGGAGGAGTAGATGGGGTGGCAGCAGGCCTGCCTGCAAGTCATGGCGGTGTCACCAACTCCTCTGCAGAGCCACGCATTCCATGCTTGGCAGCCGTCAGCCGGTTTGCCCAATGCGCAGTGTAGGATATATACCTGCCCTGACCATGCTTTGCAGACCAGGTATCAGTGGTCAGATGGACCCTTGCCCCAACACTGTGTGCCAGACATGCCATTATTTCCTTTTGCACAATCGAGTACAGGTTGGGGATTGCCTTTTGTGAAAAGAAATTTCGTCCGGGTACCAGTGAGTGAGTGGTGGCACTGGGCACAGTATCCACTGTGAGCCTGACACACCCGCTGGCAGACAACTAACTGCTATTCAATCTATAACAGTGAAAAAAGTTTTTTGTTTTTAAATGCAAGCTATTATGACACCAGATATGAGTGGCACTGTAAACTGGCAGAGTACACGCTGTAGGGCTGACACACCCGCTTTGAGACAACTAACTGCTATTCAATCTATAACAGTGAAAAAAGATTTTTGGTTTTTAAATGCAAGCTATTGTGACACCAGATATGAGTGGCATGTAAACTGGCAGAGTACACGCTGTAGGGCTGACACACCCGCTTTGAGACAACTAACTGCTATTCAATCTATAACAGTGAAAAAAGTTTTTGGGTTTTAAAAGCACGCTATTGTGACACCAGATATGAGTGGCAAAGTACACTGGCAGAGGTCTGCAGAGCACACGCTGAAGGCCTGACACCCAGACGTTTGCAGACAACTAACTGCTATTCAATCTATTACAGTGAAAAACAATTTTTTTCTTTTTAAATGTCAAGCTTAAGCTATTGTGACACCAGATATGAGTCGTGGCACTGGGCAAATGGGCACAGTATCCACTGTGAGCCTGACACACCCGCTTTAAGGACACTGACTGCTATTCAATCTATAACAGTGAAAAAAGTTTTTTGTTTTTAAATGCAAGCTATTGTGACACCAGTGAGTGAGTGGTGGCACTGGGCACAGTATCCACTGTGAGCCTGACACACCCGCTTTAAGGACACTGACTGCTATTCAATCTATAACAGTGATAAAAGTTTTTTGTTTTTAAATGCAAGCTATTGTGACACCAGTGAGTGAGTGGTGGCACTGGGCACAGTATCCACTGTGAGCCTGACACACCCGCTTTAAGGACACTGACTGCTATTCAATCTATAACAGTGAAAAACGTTTTTTGTTTTTAAATGCAAGCTATTGTGACACCAGATATGAGTGGTGGCACTGACTGGGAAAATGGGCACAGTATCCACTGTGAGCCTGACACAGAAGCTGGCAGCAGTGGCAGACAACTAACTGCTATTCAATCTATGTGTTCAGCATCATCTCCTGAGTACAGTGATACCACCAATGTATAGGTGTGTTGGGTTCTCTGGGGGCTAAAAGACCTTATTTGGAGGGTGCGCATTCCAGTTTTCCAACTTGGAATTTTCACAGCTGGTCATCATGCACCATGTCCTATTTAGGACATTTCTGAAGCCGGCCAATACAATTTACTCCATCAAACCATATATTTTTAAAAAATGTAGGCAACCCAGTATATTCAATATGGGGCATGTCGAGTCTTTTTTGTAGCCACTTAGTCACAAACATTGGCCAAAGTTAGCGTTCATAATTTTTTTTTTGCATTTTTAACACACAATTATGAACGCTAACTTTGGCCAGTGTTTATTACTAAGTGGCTACTAAAAAAAAGACTGAACATACCCCATTTGCAATACCTTGGGTTGTCTTCTTTTGCAAACAGTATGCCATCGCGGGGTAATTCTCATTCCTGGGCTACCATATGCTCTCAAAGGCAACATAACCAATCTGGCAAATTTCAATGTGAAAAAAACAGAAGATCAAGCCTTATATTTGACCCTGTAACTTTTAAAAAATCACTATAAAACCTGTACATGGTGGGTACTTTTATACTCGGGAGATTTCACTGAACACAAATATTAGTGTTTCAAAACAGTAAAATGTATAACAACAATATCATTAGTGAAAGTGCCAAGTGGAGCAGAAGATGATTGCCAGTGGGGGAACGACAGCAATCGGATAAATACATGGGAGAGGGAGGGAGGGAAGGGGTTAATTTTTTAAATTTGATTATTTTTAATTTATTTATTTCTTCACTAAGTGCCTTGACCTCTCGAGGTACTCAACACAGGCAGAGCATCGGAAGCTTGCCTGATGGCCTCCAATGCTCTGCACTACACTGCCGGGTGCCATGTGGAGCAACCCGGAAGTGATTGCTCCAGGGGAGCAATCACCTGGTTTTCTCCAGTGGCCCGGCTGTGAGAGGGAGTATTGCATGATGCCTCAGCATCGATACATCACTGCAATACCGTTAGAGCGGCTGGAAGCGATCATGATTGCTTCCAGCGCTCTAATTCCCTTAGGACTGTTTTTTGTCAGAAGTACCTGATACATCCGAGGTCGGAAGAGGATAAGAAGATCTTTTTTACAGAAAATGTCTCCCCTGACATACCATTACCAATAACATGGTGTGCCTTTAAATGTACTATTAGAGGTCAGCTAATCAAACTGGGTAGGAAAGAAAAACAAAATATGAATCTGTCTGAATTGTATATAAACTTAGACTGTTTGGAGAGGAAAAACAGGAGTAGTGCCTCAAAGGAAAAGATTGACAGATTGATGGCCATTAGGAACCAGATTAATAATATTTTAATTCGGAAAGCAATCTATACTCTTGAATGCCGTAAGAGAACATGGTATTTAAAGGGAACAAAGCTGATAAACTACTCTCCAATAGATTAAAAAAAATGATAAAGCAAATAAAATAGTTTCTAAGATTATTCATGGCAATAACACTCTCCTAAATCCAGAAAAAAATAGTGAAGCCTTTAAGGATTTCTACTTAGCCTTGTATAACTTGCCAGAGAGACAGTCCCCTGTTCATTTCTCACAATTTGTATATAAACATAAGTTACCTAAAATGTCTGCAGAGCAACTGACCAAACTTAATGAAGATTTTACTCTAAATGAAGTCTATACAGCCATAAGAAATCTCAAAGCGAATAAATCACCTGGACCAGACCGCTTTAGTAATACTTTTTATTCGTCATTAGCAAACAATATTAAAGTGATCCTTACTAAGGTATTTACTCAGATCAGTTTAACAGGAGATATAACGAGGGAAATGTTAAAAGCCCATATTATTCCCACACTTAAGCAGAACAAAAGCTCAGAAATGATATGCCTATCTCCCTTCTTAATGTAGATTTAAAAAATTGAAGGCTGCTATTTTAGCAACTAGACTAAATAACATTATTCCTTCAATTATCCATAAAGACCAGACTGGTTTTGTTAAGAGTACATCTTCTGTCCATAATGTCAGAAGAATTATCGATATATTTGATATGGCGCAGCGAGAAGGGGTTTCCCTCCTGACTCTGTTATCGGATGCCGAAAAGGCGTTTGACAGAGTCAGGTGGGATTACATGGCCCAGGTCCTTGAAGTATTTGGACTGTAGGAATATCGTTAATTCTATTATGGTATTATACACTTTACCCATGGCAAGAGTATTAGGCACTGGTTTTTCATCAGAGTGGTTTTCCCTGAAGAATGGAACTAGGCAGGGCTGCCCACTCTCGCCTATACTTTATTTAATGATAATTTTCCCTCTTGCTGTGGCAATTAGGGCAGATAATCAGATTAAAGGTTTCCCGGTGCTGACAGAAGACATTAAAGTCACAATGTATGCTGATGATGTTGTTATGACGTTATGTGAGCCGATTTCTTCTATGGATAGATTTATGATGATTATTAATGAGTTCTCGATACTTTCTGGGTATAAATTAAATTGAAATAAATCTGTTGCTCTGCCGGTGAATTTATCTTGTGACACGAGGAAGGTACTATTTGACCTTTTTGGTTTAGATTGTTCTAGTACACCATTTAAATATTTAGGTGTGGAGATTTCGAGCGACCCAGTTATTGGAGGTTAATTTCTTGTC